GAGCATCAACAAAATATCACGTGGACGCGATAAGAATATCGGCCATTTGATCAGGCCCGCAGGGAGACGTGGGCAGCTTTCAGCTCATGGGATTTATTTCCCATTTCCGGCATGCCAACCGTGATTCAGATCGTATCATCATCGCGAAAATTGAACCTTGACCTCTTGAAATTTCTATTCATTCCACGTTTGCACATATATGTACGTACAACGATGAAGAACAATGAGATTTATTTTTGACAAGGCGCAAAAGTAACATTGACATTGCCACGTATAACTGCATTGATGTGGTTTTTAAACGGTCTGTCATGCTGAACGCGTGCAATATGCATTCTGTGTAACGTGTCAAAAAGAATAGAGACACAAGAGATCTCTTCAAATTTTTGTCATTACTTCATAAAAATTTGTTGACAAATTGTCAATAATTTATTTAATTATTATAAAAAGTAAGTCAACTGAAATCCATATTTTATTTTACTCGACATGCGCATATAAAGCCGTGTTTCTTCATCGATGCGTCATTCATATAAGTATTTGGTGCATACCCCGCGCTGGCTCCGCGACATCAAAGCCACGCTTTCAACGACGACGAAAAAATTTTATTCCGTCCGCTCCGCTTTAGATTTCAAGCCCTCACAATAGCATACGACGAGGCGTTCGTTTCCGTTTGCCTAGCACCTGGACCGCGAGAACTGCAACGCACGTCAAGCCACGCAGTTCTCGTAAAACGACGCTCAATAATGGGCACCGCGGTGCGAAACGACCAACGTTAACGTCTCGATGCATCCTGAAATTCGAACGTGCGGTGCAATCGTGCCCCGCGATTGACGCGGTTCGCATTCAATTCGAACACCACGATTGATAAGGTTGAAACTTGTGGTAATTTGAGTATGCACATACGCATACCGAATACGGTGTACTAAGTACTTACTTGCTATGCATTTTTGCTAAACGCGCGAAGCAATATATTAATCAATGATAAAAAATTTATTATAATAACATGTATATTTTATATATTTATTATAATATAGTAATACTTATTACTTAAAGATATTTATTTATTAATTATTACTATGAAACACATTTATTATAAATTTAAAGAAATTGAGGCTCGCGTCGGCTCGCAAAGGCATTATTTATGAATATTTATTATAGTACTTGTAATATATAATATAATATGATATGATCATCAAAATATCTCCTTTCATAGCCAAAAGAATTCGAGAGAACGAATTTTATTATTATAATACTGTCATTATAATCTCATTATATTTATATTATTATTATAATAATTAATACAAATGGATAATAAGATGCGTTTACGTAAAATTCGGAATGCACAAAAGAACTGACGTTGAGGAATCGTTTCTTTATTCCATAATAATAGATCTTATGAATCTGACAAAACAGTGATATACTTTAAACAGATGTATTTCAAACAACATTTTATTAAGTATTTGATAGCGAAAACAGTTTGTTAAGATCCGCGTTAGTTTCGTTTAAAACCAAACATCCATCAAAATCTCTGCGTTTATCATTTTACGTGAAAGGGAAGCTCGGCGTTTGAATTTTGCGTAATTAACTCGTAGCACATCCATCGTAAAACAGAATTGAAAATGCATTTCCGGGCCGGATTGCAACGTATGCCATTTTAAATGTTTATATGCTGGCGATTTATGCGATCTTAACGCCAGGTTACGGCTTTTTCTGTTTATTGTTCGCGATATGCGCATTTCAATCGGTGTTTTCCATTGCACACTGCTGTTTTATGCGCTGTTGTGCTATTCGGGGCCAATCGAACATTTACATAACAGGAATGCAAGATGGGATATGTTAAAATCAGTTACGATTTTGCGAAGCGCTCCAGCTTCGATATTTTGAAGCGCGAGAGATTACTGAGAGAATTATTTAATGTGCTAATAGTAATGTGCTTAGCAACATTACTGTAAGAGTCTCACATTTTATCGGACGTAAAAAATTTTTTCTAAATGTAGATAAAATTTTTAATTGGGTTAATGGAAAGATACATATACATATATATATATATATATACTCACACACACACACACACACACACATATGGCTTGCTCATATAGAATAGAATATTTATTCTTTAGCATATTGGAAAGATACATATACATATATATATATATATACTCACACACACACACATATATGGCTTGCACGCGCAGTTAAATTTATTAAATAAAAAGATGTTATAAAAGTAATTTCTGCAATTTTAATTTCTCTCAGCTATTCTTTGTCAAAGTGCAATCAATTATGTACAACGTTCCAATTAGCTTCAATAAAAAAACAATATTGCAAAATAATTACATAGATAATTGCTGCGATTAATTAATCTTCATAATTCGAATGCACACAGTTGAAAAATTTATATTAAATTGAACACATTTTACGTGTCCTAAATAGTCCATTCAAAAATTCATTTTGTATTAATTTAACATAAAATGTACTCAAAAGTACAGGTCCATTTTTATTCACCAAAATATATCCCGTTAAAATCTAATTCGTTTATCTAAAAAAATTCTCGGAAAAATAAATTGGTTGTGCGTTCTTTTTAAATTAATAATTCCCAAAAATGTACACTTGCTGTGAACTGCAGATATAAAGAAGAGCAAACTCGCTGAAACAATACGCGATATTCCTTCTCGTATGATTTTTCGAACATAAGTGAGCGGTCCAAAAACCGAATAATAGCGTGGGTGGTAAATATTCATAAACTATCGTTATGTGAGATAAACAAAATATTTTAACTTTCTCTAAAAAGAACTTTCCCTTAAGTAAGTATTGTATTTGTCAAGTATATCAAAATATCAATTCGTCGAGCAGTTCCGTATCCTTGTTAGATCCATTCGATTGTTCTTTTATATGTATCATTTCAGAAATTAATCTTTTAGGGTAATTGGATTTGAAATCCAGAACTCTAACATTGCCCCAATCAAACGAAACCTAATATGATTGAGACCTAAAATATGTTGAGAAATAACAGTATGCCTGGACAAATTCAGTTTAATGTTGCTAACGTAATGCTCTTTTAGTCTCCTTTTAAGCATTCTCTTTGTCTGTCCCGCGTAGAATGCATTATAAAAAAACATCAACTTAATACGAAATGTTCAAATAACTCAATTACATTATGTCAAATGATCATGTACGTGGGTATATTAAAAATTCAACACAAATTTTAACAGGACTGCCTTTGAACATAAATATACATATATTTTTTTAAAATATTTTTTACTGTGTACAAGTATTCGTTGGTGAAATGTAAAAAACATGTAGTTTGATTTTGTTAAAAAAATTAGATTCTTATAACATCTTATGGCAAATCAATTTTAGCACATGCCTATTAAACAGCAAAAGATAGCGGCGTCGCGCAAATCAGTACAGTGATGCAACGAAGAATGTTACAGCTGACAGGCAATCTATCATTCTCAAGGTCGGATAATGTGTATAGTACATCGTGTACAATTCCCTGTAATGCAATTACCGCTGCGATAAATTACAATCACGTAGAAGTATCAGCGTCACGCCCCGCGATCTACTTAATTGCGACGCGATCGAAGTTATCTAAGAACGTCTAAAGCTATCAACAGATGGTACTTAGGTATATCCTTCACAAATTGCTTACATTGCAGCATTTTGGCGAAAAGAAGAAGCTCTACCATTAACGACCGAATATTTTTAGTGAAGCGTGTTAATCCATTGCAAATTTCTTTTCTCGCATGGCATCTAATTTTTTATTTGAGTTGATCTCAACGATTAAACTTTAAAAATTAATATTAATGTGAAATTTAATTAATTTTAAATAAATATTTTATAATAAAATTTTATAAATATTAAATTTATTTGATTTCCCAAATGCCAAGAATATTTTCATTATATATTAGATATTTTTAAATTTTAATTAACCAAATAAAATTGTGGGTTTGATAAGAAATTTATTGAAATAATTTCCAATAACATTTGACTGACCGAATTTTTCTACTACGCTTGGATTATATTTTTCACCGGTGTAACCAAGAGATTAAGCTATAAATATAAAAATTTTGTTGAGAACAAATCCTCCACGCCCGACGCACAAACCCGCGCATGTTTATTTCGTTTTCATGCAAAGCGGCACAAAACCGGGAAGCTATCTTGCACGACGCAAAACTGTCATGGCAACCTACAATTAAAACGGCGACAAATTACAAACCCGCATAACTCGCTTACGGTGTAACCGCACGTTTTAACTTATTAATTAAAATTACGCATGCGTTGTCTCGTTAAAACAATTTCGCAACGATTTTCAACGATTTTCACACGTGAAACTGTTTTTGCGAAAAATATAAAATTAAGAAGTCAGCTGCTTGATTGAACTACATAAAACTAGTTTAGATCTTTTCGAAGCAATATAAGGAGTTGTAACTTTTGCAGAAGTAAAAAGCGCATAGGAAATTATATAAGTGTTAAAGTCTCAACCAAAAAAAAAACTGGAAAAATATTCTTTCCGATCCAGAAGAAAACGTTTCTTTCCCACGTGAATCGAGATGTTACATAAATTATTTCTTCGTACTGAATTTAAAGTATTTAAAATAAATTGCTTTCTGTCTGCGCCAACAGCAATACAAATCCAAACACAAATATAAATATACCCTTGTAAAAAAACGTGACGTAGTGGTAGATCGCTATGGCACGTGCCGCACTTTCCCAGTTCCCAACAACCGAGAAACGTGGGAGGAATAAACAAGCCGGCACGATACTATTGTTGGCAAGTGAAATGTCAACAAATGAGATTACTTTCCCATAATCCCCGATGTAAATGCCAGTGATTTGGAACGGTAAATAAATCATATTGCGTCTAGATACTAAATTTATGTCTTTTCTGTCAAGAAATATTTCGCAACTTTACGTAGCTCTCATATATGTATCATTTGCCCGTGCTAAAAATAAATGCAGTCTTCCGATAAGTAGCACCACTCGTTTCGTGTGTGTTTCAGAAAAATCGATACGAGTCCGGACCACATATCGGATGCCGCAATCAGCAGCCAAAGGTAATATGTTATTAGAATGTCATACAAACGTAATTATCAAAATATGTATCGTAATTTTTTTATGTTATGTCTCATTTTTGTGCTTCTAACAAAATATATATAAAGTATTAAAAAAATACTATTATTTGTTGTATCATATGTTTTACACACATTCTTCATATAATTTTTCTTTATTTATAAATATAATAAAAAAAATACCTCATCTTTAACTGACGTTTACATTAGTGTTTAAGATTTTAATTTAGTGACGAAATTGTGACGAAAATTTCTCAAATATAATTATTATAAATAACGAAGTAAATAACGCGCAAGCTATTTAACAAGTTCACATCGTGCCTAAAAAATTCATTGTGATAATATAATACTTGATAGTTAATACTTGATAGTTAATAATTTAGTTTTAATATTATTAATATAACTCTAACATAAATTTAATGCAAGTCAAAACACGCTTTATGTATCGCGTAATACGACATGACTAGAACCGGGAAAATTGAATAATTAAAGTCGTGAGAAATCCTTGATCCGATTATTCCGGACGTATTTGTAGTCTGCTCGGTGGGAAAAGGAAAAGTATTATTGGATCTTCAGGGTCGGGATAATTCGCTTAAGAAAGTCTAGAGGGATGATACCTCAAATTTACACAGTAACGAAAAGGGGAATTTTCTTGAAATAATTCTCGCCAATAGAAATAGATAAAAATATTTATGTCATATGTTATACATATGACATATCATTAAGTTATAATATTTCACTCACATATCAAACATAAATAAGTATTAGAAACAAATTGCCTCATATTTATTAAAATACCTTATTATATTTATTAAATATATTACATTTCTAAGACAGTAACAATATATGTATAATATACATTGTATATTGAATCTTTAGTTTTGTCTTTTAAAATCTTTCAGATTGAACTATCATTTCAGACGAAACAAACACTGATAGTACAGAAAGTAAACGATACAAAGCAAATAGGCTTTTGTTTTAAATAAAATAGAAAAAGATATTTAGCTGAGAATCCAAGGCAAACTTTCGATTCTTTATTTCATATATTCATATATTTCATCTTTATGCTGTTTCTTTATTATATACATTATTTTGAAGTTGTATTTTATCATACTTTTCAAACGCTTTTATTATTTAACTGTTTAATCGTACAACTTGTTCGTTCATATTTTATTTTGCTTTTAGCGTGTTTTTATTTTTCAACTGCGTGTCATTGTGCTATTGAAACACATGTGAAAAAGCAATCTAAAACAGACGAAATAAAAATCTTCCTTTTCGTTGTTCTCTATGTACGTTCAGTGTTATCGACAATATAATGATGACACAGAGCTAAATCCTATGTATGTCTTTTTAATTTAAAAATATGTTTAACTAAACTTTGTGAATTTAATATTAATTTTAAAAAAATTTCTCATTTTAAAATCTTAAATATACCGATATAAAAAAATAATGTAACAAAATACTTTAAAAGAAATTTTTATTAAAATTTAATATAAACTTTAATTTTAATATTGAACATATTTTTTAAATTAAAAAATTTAAAAGATGATTTACGATCTTCTTTTAGAAATATAGTAAATTCTGCTGTCGCTTAACATTATTTATTAAATAATATTAGCGGAAAGCAATTCCACGCTTATGCAAGAAAAAAGCATAAAAAAGAATTCTGACTGAAAAAAAAAAAACATCTAACAGAATCTCCGTGATACACAGTTAGGTCATCGTAAATCCTGCTTTAATGCGCTGTAACAGCATCTTTCAAACACTTCTACGATAAGTATACGTATAATCGCAACGTGAGTTTGATTAATACGCACGCGGTGGTTTCAGACCTCGCGTTTAATTTAAAAACAAGGTTTCCGCGGAAACAACGGGATCAACCATAGTGCAGTGAATTCTGTTGTCAAGTTTAATTAAAAAGCGTTGCCGATACCATAAGACGCATTCTAAAGAACATTTGCAATAATTAACATCTCACTTCGTTAGAAAGAGTCAGAGGCGCTTGATGATACGTGCACCATAAGATAATGATCGCATATGCAATCGTAGAGTATCGATCGCTGATGGTTAATCGTCCCGTTTCTGTCAATCCCTGTTTAAACAATTATATGAACTTTAAGCACAAATTGTAATTTAGAATTAAAGCTAAATTCTACCAATTCATTTTTTTTTCAACATTTTCTATTTTGTGTGTATCAAGAAAGATTGACAATAAATTGGTAAAAGCTAAAGATTTTGCGCAATCTAATCAGTAACTAAGGACCACTATAAATTTTACCAATATCAAACATATACGCATACACACGCGGCATTATGGCAGAAATTTCATTAAGCCTCGTGAGAGATTGTGGTTTTAGTTGCCATTCTCGAATGCATATTGACACAAACGCGAGGTCGTCAGGGTCTTTGAGATAAGAGTTTTAGCTAACTATTATCAACCGGCCGAAATGCCATAATGCCAATGATCGTTATTCAATTCGATGTTGCTAATCAGCACAAAAGTCGTTGAATATCGTAATAGTCGACTCTGATTATGCGAAACAAATGCAGATGCACAATTCCCACGAGTACGGATCATTTATTTTAATTACTTGTTGCGTTTGAACGATTGTTCGCGGATAAATGGCCGATGATCAGTAGAGCCATTGTTAATTGCCGTCGCGTATTAAATAATGAGAGGACAATAACGCGTGCGTGTGTGTTCGCTTTGTCACATTATCTCCGTGAAAAAGTTGCCGGGATCAAACACAAACGTATCTTGATGTAGTATTACAGTCGATCGCATTTAAATAAGCATATTTACTCAACTTACACGAACGCATAGCGCGCATTTGATGATGTGCCATTGTAACAAATGAATGCAGTTGATATCAAGCGACACGCAGGCAGGCAGGGCAAGCGAAATCCCGGTGAATTGATAGCTCGCTTGATAAATGATAAATGGAATAAAGCGGATCGGACCTACACCAATCCGTATTGTAATCGCTAGTAACTGCTCCGAGCCAGAAGCAACTTCGAGAGATGAATTAACTGATAAATTGTCTCGGACAGGTGCAAAGACTCCAATGCTGAGACAACAGACTAGGGTATGATGAATCTCTCTGCCGAAAGCTTCGGTAGATTAAGGGATCACAATGTCTATCTCAAAAATATCGCGTTAGCCTTTCTGCATTCCTAATGCTATATCTATACTTTAGATCGTTGTATTTTACAAAAACTGCATAGCGTAAATAAATTTGTAATCCTCTGGCATCTGGCAATACATGCTGCTATAATGGCTTTCCTCTAAATGATACTTTAAGACGAAACGTCATTTCAATAGTTCTTTTTTTGTGCTCTTATAGAAAATATAATCGGTGTCTCGATATTTTGTCGTTATCAGGAATGTCCTCAATTATTTTGCATTTGTTTCATCGAAAAAACGTTCGTACATTTTAGTCGTGGCCGTAACTGTGCGTACAGCGATATAGCTTCACATTCAGTTCACTCACAATCAGCACAATAGCGAAAGGATTAACTGTCATCAAACATTGTTTAGATAGAAAAGAAAATATAGATGTTTTTTTGTTTTTGAATGTGCAAACTACGAATTCGATAAGTAAATTTGCATTTACAATAAGTTTTATACTCCATCGCAGCATTGAGCCCTTTCTGATTTTTTTATTAAATAAAAGAATTATATAAATTTTAATATTCTATCCTTCAAATTTATCTTTTTCTGACAGAATATAGAATATTTTGTGACTTGCAGGGTGTACAAGAAATCCTCGCCGAATAATAAGTTGACACTTTATCTAGCCAGCAGAGATATTATCGTCAGTGAAGCCAAAAACGACAACAAACTTCTAGGTGTCCTTTTGGTTGATCCCGACTATGTGCGCGATAAGAAGGTAAGATGAAACAAGACAAATTATATAAAATTTATTCTTAAAAATATAATAATAAAATATTTATTCTTAAGAAATGTCATTTTATTTTGAAGAAAAGACACAGTCACCTACAGAATTTGTAAATTTGGTGTACTTTGTACAAACTGTTTTCAAAACTGTATAACGTTTACAACGTCAATACATATTTATGAAAGAAATTGCTCGAACTAAGACTATCGAATTTTTTGAAATATCAAGTTCAGTGACCGAAATAAGATCTTTGAACTCATAGAGAATCCTTGCTTATAGTGTTAAATCTACTGGAAAGTTTCTCAATGACGTATCGTTCGATGGGAAATTAAAGCTGGAGTACGAATACAATTCCAATTCTCGGAATCAGTCAAAAGAAAAAAGTGGAATTACGAGCTAAACTATATTTATTATCGAAATCTTGGCAAGCTCACTTACTCTTTTTTGACGAGACAATATATCTCTAAATATTCCCGATACATTCAAATCTATTTTATATACACAATGACGTTTTAACATTAATGTAACAATTAAAATGTCTGAATCAGAACGTAAAGTAAAAGTTTTTCCAGAATAAAATCATTTAAGTTATTACCAAGATTGTAAATCCATCAGAATGTATAAGATACATATATTATCCTAAAAACTAAATTGTTATTTTTACAGGTATTCGGTCAGGTGACGTTGACTTTCCGTTATGGAAGAGAAGATGAGGAAGTAATGGGCCTAAAATTTTGTAACGAGGCGATGATGTGTCTGGCCCAGCTATATCCATCCTACGTGGGAGCTCATCATCTGGAGAGCAAAAGCCCACTGCAGGTTGGTACAAAATAATAAAATGAATATAAACGGATATAATAAAATAGATTATGATATCATAAAATTATGATATCCACAAATACTCTAGATTACTCTAAAAAAATTACGCTCTCGTTCTCGTTAAATATTTATTATATCAAAAATAATCTTTTTTTTTAAATTCGTCATTTTTCATTTACTTCGCAATATATCATTTTGAAAGATCTCGCACCTAAAGATGCGAGCTAGTCAATGCGAGGCAATAATTAAAAAGAAAATAATTTCAATACCAGCTCGACGTGAGTTGCGACAATTCTCGTGCGATTTTAGTGTCCGCTATTCGTACACACGTGTTGAAACTCTCGCATCATCGTTACGAGCACAGATGTATTCATAGCGTGTCTTAACTGCACGACATGAAATATAACCCAATATGCTTCAAGGATTTAGGTTATAGTGGAATTTATGCTTCTCTTGATTAAACTGTATCCTATCGCGTGTATAGAAACTGTGATTGGTGGAACTCTATAATTAGTTTAGGTCGTCCAACGATATAATAATTACGATATCGATATAACGACACTGTACGTCGACTGTACGCTCAATGAAGAAATATGCACGAACACGCGACTCGCTACACGAGAATTTCAAGTACCCTGCATTTTGCGACGCGCCGCGCCGCAATCTCGAAGCGGTGCATTTCGAGCAGGACATTGGACGCAATCAGGCGATGTCTTGGTATTAGTAGATATTGATAATCTCTCTAAGCACCTCGCAAGAAGGATGAAGACGGTGAAATGATAAATGAATTTCCGACCATGCAAATCCCATTATATCTTCATCATACTTCATCATGCAAATGAAAACTCTCTAATAATTACCTTCGTGCGTTCTAAATTAAATCTGATTGATTTGATTTTGACATATTCGGAGCTTGAAATGGCAAAAAGACTCTTATATTTCTATTCGTGGCAGCAAATAACAGACGTAAATGTACTATCTATTGTGCAGATCATGAAAAATTTAATTCGTCAAAATTACACTTAATAAAAAACCTATTATCAAATTATATCAAAAATTACACCTAAATTATATATAAATAATTGACTATGTATCTGAAAAAATGTCAGTAAATACTACAAACGAATTAAAACACACAATATCGAATATGTCACAGTATATATGTACATATATTCAGAATGTTTAGCCGCGTAAATCACGTCTCTGCATCGGGCACGGAAAACTATTTTTGCGAACCGTCTATTAAATCTTGCCAACTTCAAAAGCTATGTCACTTATTTCCTCGCCGCGTCTGATTTTTATAGGCACACAAATCGTACGCGTCACCAGCCCCGGCCAGTGAGCGAGAATCAATGCTACGCGATTATAAAACTTTGGATACGGATACAAAGGCATCGCTGATTGCACCATGTTATTCTACAATGTATTCTGATTTAACGCACGGGGAAACAAAAATAATTTTATGCTTTTAAACTAACCTTACGACAGCGCGGCACACGTCTGAACAAGCAATCGTTGCAGAATTCGATTGAAAAAAAATGCACAAAGTGACAAAACGAAAAATAAAGGACACAAACATCAATCTATTTGTTGTCAAAACAAATAGATTCCTTTTGAAATCACATTGATTGATTCTTAACAAATATTTCTAAAGCGCAAAAAAATAGAAATAAAACTCTATTTAATTTTCATAATTCTTCTGGTAGACAATTAACAACTAAACTCAGTACATATTAAAACAATCGAAACTTATTATTTATTGAACGCTGGTTAATAAATAACATCGTATTAAATTATTATCGTATTAAATGATTTATATATCGTAGGGTCGATAAAATACGTGATATTGATATAGCAAATCGCAAGTGAGATTTTAACAATATCCTCATAATTAATCTTTGAAAATTTATTAATTCTTAACTCCTTCAAAAAATTTCGACGATGATAAAGAAGAAGGAGCGAGAAACGTGATTGTAGAATTTCTGATCTGTATCTAAATTACATTTTCAAACGAAAACTATCCCAATTAAGCAACCCTATTCAAACTTTAAGCGTCTCATTGTCTTGCAGTAATTAATATTAATACGGCATGAAAGGGACAGAGAGGAGATAAGGCTTTCATTTCATCTCTCAACAGCGATAGGTATATCAAAGTAATACGGTGCGACAAAATAGGTTCTTTGATTGCTCTTTATCAATAAGAACCTATCGCAAACGTGTCACGTTTGTATCGACTCCATAGATACTTTCTGGGGATCTTGACGAGGGTAGGATGTTGAAGGAGACCAAAAATTCTTTGTGAAACTGAAAGACCCATAACGCAATCAATGTCAGAGCCATGTGAAAAATTCTTTTCACGAGCGAAACCAAAAAAGATCAACCGGCGAAAATCTCTTTCCAGATTTTTATCAAGGCGTTAAAAAACGTAACACATTTCTCTTGTCAAATTAGAGAAAGTCAGATTTCTATCAGATTTGACTGAATAATTCTATATTTCAGGCCAAACGGCAATATGATCATCGAAAAATTAATATTTGATATAAATATCAAATTTTAATAATCTTATGTAACTGCTGCAAATATGCAAACAACGTCAATGCTAAAATAAAATCCGGTAACTATAAATTTAATAGATATAAAAAGATATTTCATTATAAATGTATTAATATCACACGACGTAATTAAAGTACCTCTTTAAAAGATCTAAGCTAATCTTATTTCATATTAAAATAATTACGCCTCTAATACGCTCCGTTACAATGCGTAATTAACAAGCTAAAAATATTCGTACTCTTCGTAAAAATATGATTCAGATATTCAATAAGAGACAAATTCGCAAATATGCTGTCAGAAAATCTCGCAACTGTAAAAATTAAAATCGTCACACGTATAAATATATATTTCTTTTTCATTTTTTTTTCTATATAATTTTCAAATTAATTTTCGATGCACCGTGAAAATAATTTAATAAAAGTTCGCCTCGACGGATCACGTTAATCATTCGATGTTCATAATATTCCACATTTACACGAGAAAATCGTTTGAAGTGCAGATACAAATGCGCGCAGAATAAATTGGTTTAAAATTATTATCCGATTAACAAAAAACAAAGAAACACACGGTATAAAAAGCTTTGGTAAAACGAGATGTATGCAATCGTGTGAACTGTCACGCAACGCAAGATATTGAAAAATATATTTTTTCTCAGTATTTCCATAGGCAAAAACATGAGAAAATTTCAAGTTATATTTAGAAAAAGTACGATATCATCACAGTTATCTTCACAATATCGGCCACGCAATACATTGTAAAGAGAAATACTTTGACAAATAAGATACACATAAATATGTAATTTTCTTGTTAGTGTCGTATATATTTCTTATCTTACGTAATATTTATCGCACCTATAAAATCGACGTTTTGTTTTTGTTCTCGGTTAAAGTTTCAAAATTTCGGTAATGATCAAATCGAAAGCTATACATATATCTAATTTCCATAATACAATTTTCAATGCGTATATAAATACGATATAACACTGCTATTTTTAATACTATGTTATATTTTTATAGATAACTATTGTTCTTCCAATAAAAGTAAAATTTATATTTTAATTAGTAAGAAACTGAATTAGTGACGTGGGGTTGCAAAAATACACGATGTCAAAAATTGGAAAGCTGCAATAAATGCTGATGTCGACAATCTTCCTCGATATTTTCTCATCAAGGGAAAATCGAAAATCTCTAAATATAGCATAATATATTCCGCAATATACTCTTTAAAAAGGTTTACGGTTATTCACGGACAAAAGCAATCCGTGACAAAATTGCATATTATCAGGGGTCGATCGATAATGTCAAAAGAATGCTACGATTGAATTTTCGTTAAAGAGCTCTCGAAGGAGAGTGGAAAACGCGTTTCGCCGTGGAAAATCTGAAATCCTCCTCGAAGCTCCTCGAATACACCTACAAATCATTCTCGCGGCCTTGACCTAACGACAGGAGGTTTCACAGGCTGTCATGTGAAAATTATTTATCGCGCCCTCATCTCTTTCTACGTGAGCATTCGACAATAAGCGCGATCTCAATTCCGGGATCGATTTGAAGATAAACGCGACGTGCATGGAAATTGCCTTGCCGCCTCGAGAAATGCATCGGGAATAAAAGTGCACGAAATATCGGAAAATACGCACGAGTGTGTTCCAGCCACTTGATGGAAAACGCTGTCACGCACGTTACACTGAGGCAATCAACGAGATGGAGTTTTAAGGACTGATCGCGTTAGGCTTATCGAGAACGAAAGCTATATACATACATATCTCGTGTCAGTGCACTCGAAAGCTGTGCATAAAATTGTGCTGATGCGTGCAAATGTTGCGCGTTTTATAGAATTTCAATTAAGAAAAGAGAGAAAAAAACTTTTCGGGTTACGCTGAACGTCAAAGTGCCACGAGTTTCACGTGTACATCACCGTTTTTCCCTCTGCACGACAGACGGCAGGCCAAAGGAATAAATTGCAGTTAGCCGCATTCTGCGACAGAAAAAAATATTCGTGAAAAATACGGTACGTGTCAACGTCTATTTTTTTCCCCGTTTTTATCATCGAATGCTGTTCTCTGGCTGAATCCCAACGAGATACAACAGGAAAAAAATACAAATTAATATCGCAATAATAAATATAAATATAATGACAAATACATTTTCGCAATAACCGGCCGCGGCGAGAAATAATAACAATTTTTCAGAGCGGTGAGACAAAATATAATTAATATTCTATTTCGTAAAACGTTTATGTGTTTCAAGCACTTACTTTCGTTCATTTCTACGTTACTTTCATAAAAGAGTTTCGAGCTCTCATAATTATGATGAAATAACAAAGACGTTACGCCGCACAAAATTATCAATAATTACTGATATTTTTAACTCCGCATTCTAATAAAGCGTGCATGACTTTTGACACAATGGTCGTGATCTTTCGGAAAAGAACTTGTGCGAGGCTATCTCTATACGGTACAAAATCGAAACTCCTCGACGAGGAAAGATACGTCGAATCAATATGCATTGTGGACTTGTATGCATATGCTGCGAGAGGAATTCCTGTTGAAATAGGTCATGATATAAGAGGATCGCTCGAATTTCGACTATCAGGGAAAACGCATGACCAAGTACAATGTTCATTAATGTACGTGACTCGAATATTTCAATAGCAGCATTTACTGGAAGCATTAACACGTGTATCGCGGTACACCGTAACGTATAATTACGCATAACGACACATCATTCTACGACATAATCTATTCAAACCCGATATAATTACCTATGCTAATATAGTGTATAATATTCATCAGGACATATCGACATTAACATTCACAAATGCTTCACAATATATTATTTCAGTAAACAATTTGGAGTAATAGCGATATAGGATGTATTTTAAGTTTTATAATTTTAAGAGGTGATTTAGTTACATTAAGACTCAAAAATAATAAACTAGATCTTAATAAACATAGATTCTCTAAAACCATTCGTTTTCAAGATGCATAATGTTGAAGTTTTTAAAAATAAATCACATTTTCTTAATCTCAGAATAATAAGTATCCATTAGATAAATCTAATAATATCTAATATGTATCCACTAGATAAATCGTTTATTCAAGTTTTATGGTTTTAAATCAAATATGCCTGAGATATTTTTAAATAGAAAATATGATTTTTTTATAAATTTCAATATCCTGCATCTTGGAAACTAGTAATTTTAGGATCTTTATTTATTAAGACTTTTAGACTTTCAAATGATCAAAAGAATCGCCTCCTAAAGTTATAACATGCATTTAATCATATATTAACTCTAAATATTTTTATATGTATTATTGCTTGTATTTATTATTTATCTAGACATTTTTTTGAAGTCATATTATCTGTTGCAATGTGCAGAAAAATTGCATATTCTTACATTTTGAAAATGGTAAACCGGAATTGAAAACGCTTTTCATAACAATTCTCTCTCTCTTTCTCTCTCTCTCTCTCTCTAGTCAGTCCTTCGAGAGTGAAGATCGCGGTTTCCATTTGATGCATGCTCACGCATGCTCCATGATGATTAGCAAAGGTACACACGCTGTGTTTGCTATTGCCTTCCGAGAGGTATAGCGATTGAATAAAAATCTGATGTTCTCAGTCGGATTAAATCCGGATTTAAACCCGGATCGTCGGCATAAAAAGCAAACGCACAACTTTCTACACCACTACAAGTGATAATATAATTCTTAAAATGTTTCTAGAAGAATTTTATTCAGTAGCAAAATCTTATGAAATGACTTTTCAAATAATTGACGATATAAATTATTTATATCCATATATTTCTTCCCTTCCCGCATAAAATTCTCCAAAAATAATACAATCAATAAAAAAGATTTCTGCTCCAATAATATAAAGACAAATATTCCGAATTCCTACATTCTTCCGAAGAAAGTCAGATTCTCGAAATCTCGAATCTAAATCTCATGGCTCATATTTCCTTTGGTATTCTGAGGATCCTGATATGTATATACGCGTACTTTTACATCGAGTTTTCTTCACAATAGCACAGTCTCGCGTTTCAACTCGAAATGAGAGTATTATGAGGAGGGGCGAGAAGGTCCTAAATTCTATCAAATGCAAAATCAGGCGAAATGAGGGAACTCGACGGGAATTGACCCTGACCCGCATCTCTCCTTGCGGAGAACAGTATCCCCCGTTTTATTTTCACGCGCCTGTGCGCATACACAGCGCCGATTCACCGCCGTGAATCCTTGAGCCGATGGGACAGGAAAGTACCGTGGGGGTCGCCTCCTATTCCGACAGCTCGGTATTAGCCTTGCGCGCACAGGTGCTCCTGAGATGCTCCACAACACACAGTGTACCGAAGGACACAGAGACTGAACCAAGGATTTAAAGCGAAAACAAATGTACATGCTGTGCGCGACATATATTTTCGCAAGTCGTGTAATTCGAGGAATATGAAGGCGAGACAGTACAATAGCTCATAGTTACCGTGTTAATGGAGTAGTCTACGACGAATTTAAAGCGGATGTTTCCTCAAAACGGTCGGGAAAAATCAGAGATAGCCAATTGTCAACATTAAATAGTTTTACTGTGTTGACAACTGTATTCAGTACAGCTGAGTTTATTGAAGTAGAAATTATTTCAGGTAAAATAATGATTAAAGTCTTATTGGTTATTTGTAATTCCTGGAAAACGTTTATTTTCTTATTCGTTCCGTACATTTATTTAAACTCAATACTGGTGCTCCTCAATATTTCTGTTAAGAAAAAGTCAACTTCAAACTTCTAAGTATACGTTGCTGTTACACGCAATTTAAGAATGCGATAGAACATCTTCTCTTTAAATTTCTTAATTACCATGAGCATACGATAAAGTTACAAAATACCTATCGCTTTTCCAAAAAAAAAAAAGACTAATTATATTGGTAATTGCTACGCTTGGGAATTTGCACTATGTAATTACTCGCGCTAATGGATATCCCTTAGGGATTGAAAGAACAAACGTAAGACTCCTCGATCGAAGCGACAAAAAGAAGAAATTGTTATCGCGTGGCACTTGAAAGTGATTACTTCTACGTCAATTAAATCCCAGAAAACATGTTCTTCATAAAATTTATAGGTCCCTCGTGTCAATTTAATAAAATCAAAATTGCCAGAGTAAAATATGGTAATGTTATAGCGAGCAGATTACGCTCTTAGATATGTTCAATTAATCATCCCATATGAAACAAACATTATAACAGCAACAATATATTTATGGATTTATGTCGTGTCCAATTTACCAGTACATTCGATTTCTACACAGAATTTATTGTTATGTACATTTAGTTTGTAAAACATTTAGATTATTCAAAATCTGAAATTTTATTAATGAAATTTTCAGGCTCAAATGTGTAAATTGTAACTAAAAATATTTAGTATTACTGATTATCTCAACCTTTTTTAATGGGAAAATTTAAAGAAGTAAAATAAAAAAGAGAAACTTCATTCAATTAATTTTAATTATATTAAAACATAGAATATAATATACCATTTATAAATTATATAGACTTACTATATAGACTTGGTGTTGCAACACTGTCGCGTCGCTTGATGATCATTACATCTTGAAAATGACATCCTTCAAATAACAACTTCTTGAGTGCATGCACTTTCACAATCTCTCTCTGAAGTCTCTCATCATTTCTTGTAACATTCTAACTGTAATGTTCGCAATTTCTTTAAAAATATTTGTTTTAAATTTATCAATATTTCGAAGTTATAAAAAATCATGAGAAATTTCAGAGAGAGATTGTGGAAGTCACGCACTCAAGAAACGGTCATTTAAAGGATGTCATTTCTAAAATGTATTGGTATAATTTGTAAATGGTATATTATGTTCTATATTTAATAATAAATAATTAAAATTAATTAAATAAAATTTATAAGTTTTTATTTCTCTTCAAAATTTTCCCGTTTCTTTGGCTCATCTTGTACATATATATACATCTTCTATGTAAAAATTAATTATATAATTTAAAATAAAATGTATATTTAAAATATTATATAAACATATACAAAAAATACAAAACTTTTAAAGTGTTGTTTTACTTTTTATTATCCGAAACTGATTCGCAAAAATATTATTCAAAATATGAACAAAAATTTTATATGGCTGAAGACTTGTCAATTTCCAGATTTTTCTCATTTTATAATTCAGTAAATATTAAAGTATAAACAGTATTCCACAGTGTTCACATTTACAAACCCGCAAAAGCTTCCGACAGCATTATTATTCATTTTTATTAAATATTCCGTAAATGTCTAATCAATAATGTTTAGTTTTCATAATAATTCCGCAGACTAAATCGACGTTTGTGTATACATTTCCGATGTAAACTCAGTTTTCCATTCATTAAAAAATAATGAAAGCGACAGTACGTCGCATCGTGAAAATCGCGTACATGATATTTCGTATAAATTTAATAAAATTTATATTGAATATATATATATATATATATATATATATATATCAATGTAGAAAAAAATATCAATATTTATTTTCTCACATGCGTGTTACTTCAAATATATACTTTGCTGAAAGTTTTTTTGGTGCTTTATTTTTATATCTTTTTACTCTCACTAAAAATTTTTTTAATGAAAACTGGCTATATATATGTATGTGTAGCATACGCCTCTCGCTCAACTTTTCATATAACATACATTATGGAACATGCAATATATTATGTAATCTATATTCCGCACAAAGTCTCAAAATTCCTGATTATCGATAAATCTCCACAACTATGTTTAATATAAATACATACACGAACAAAGATTTGAGAAATAGTCCTATCTTTATTAAAAGATTATTAAAATAAAGTATGTCAAAATCATTCCCAAAAAAAATCGTTGGTAACTTAAATAAAAATTCTTTTCAATAACAGTACGGATACATACAGTTCTCTGCTACAATTTTCTTCCTATGTGCATTTAACGTAACAGATACGCGTAATCAAAATATTTCTCTAAGCAGTTGGTGGTTGTTCATGTCTGTAAAATTGAGTAAAAATATTTTCTTACCATCGATTCTATCTCGACGAAAAATCTCCATAAAAATTATCATGTCAAGGAGCACCACTCAATTTTTCTAGCGACTATCCATGGACTATATTGGAAGAAGCAAGAAGAAAATGGAAGGAGCAAAAGAAACTAAAATATATTAAGCCGAGATCTTTTTTTTTTTTTTTACAGGAAGCACTAATCAAAAGACTAGGATCCAACGCACACGCATTCACTATAGAAATTCCCTCGATCGCCCCGCCATCCGTGCAACTGGTACCAGCTAAGGAATACAATGGCCCGCCTATAGGTAACAGCTACGACGTCAGAGTTTACGTTGGTGAGTGGAAAAAGCTTGCCGATTTTCTTGGGCTTTATTTTCTCGGTTCCGACAACGTGTATGCACTTTGAAAGACAATGGTGCACCGCAACTCGAAATGTAATTACGAACGTTCGTGAACGAAGTAAGAATGAATGTATTTACGAAAGAAGAATGAATGTATTTTCTCATTTCTCAAACATATGCTTAAGCAAGAATAAGAATTCAAAGGATCTCTATTGAATAACATGTATATTTTCTGCTTACAATTGTAAGATTTGAAGCATGGAAAAAATAAGCATATATTTACTTAAATTCCCCATAAGAGATTTTAAAATCTATTTCTGTTCCAAGCATTATATAAAGCCAGCTCAAACAGTTCTTATTTTGTTATTAGATTTTTAAAGTTCGTCATATTTACGTGCAATTTCTGTCCAAAAATAAAAAGTAATCTTTATTAATGTCGGAATTTAAGCCAATCGCATAATTCTGAGAAAGAAAATAGCTCTTGAATCTAAAAAAAAAAAAAAAAAATATTCTTACAAATGAAAATTTGATAATTTGTATAAGCATCAGATTCAACAGAGCAAGATCTTTTTCCCGAAAGATTTACTCGATTATTTGCAACGATGAATTCATAAGTCGACTCGTGTTTAGCATCGTTAGCTTTCACCTTTATGTGCCATCGTTATATGCATCGTTAACATTTTGTGCGGCGGATTTTAGCGGAACGGGCGGACGAACGATTGCACCGTAAAACCACCGTCAGGATGGGCATTCGAGTGATCCAGCGAGCCACGAAGCCGCCCTTACCCTCGACGACTATGTACAGTGTGCCTCCCTCTCAAGAGCCATCGACTGACTCGAGAATTCAAGGATCCAACGCAAGAGTGGCGTTAGCGGAAAATGAGATCATCGAGGATGATGGTTGGTCGCGATTAGCGTAACACGTTACGACGCGTTACAATAACGTAGTTTACTTGTCATTAAGCTTTAAGCTACAGTTATTGCTATCTGTACCTACATATGCTGTGTTATTTTCTAAGTTTCTCAATGTGCTTTAATGTGCTGTAAATCTCTGATTTTCAATGCGACATTACAACACTGTATGTCACAGTAATCCGAAATTGAAATCGTCGAGATGAGATAGAGTTTAACTTCAGAAATTTTTGAATTAGCACATATCTCGAGTTTGATGAGGAGCTACTAAGATAGTATCTTATTCTGTCAGTCAGTAAATGGATCTCGTCACGAAGCCCAAATCAGAACACATGACATATAGGATTTCGCTCTTATTTTCGCAGAAAACGTGGGACCACATGCGGCAGTAGAAAAGCCGTTTTTATTAAGTGACGGTCGCGTCAGATTGGAAGCAAGATTAGACCATGCGATCTACGAACATGGAGACTCGATCAATGTCCATGTCAATGTTAGCAACAATAGCAACAAATCAGTAAGGAGAATAAAGGTATAACTTATATATATAGTATATGTATGCTATTAAGGATATAATCGATACTTGTTACTACATACACAGTCATATTCATTTTCAATATTATACGCTTTAGGAATTCACGGGAATTTAATCAAAACTGCTATTCTAAATAAGGAATTAAATGCAGTGTGACACAGAAAAAATATATTCTATATTTCAATATTTTTTAATCGATTAAATATGAGCACATGAAAAAAAAACTTCTATCTTATTGATTTAATATACTGCAATTATAAAACGTTCATTTAATCGCGGTATATGAAACGATAAAAATGAGAGTTTTTTTATCAACTTTAATAAAGAGGGTCTCCATTACCGTTTGCTTTTCATTGCAAAATAATTCATATTATAGCTATTTCACCGCTACAGAGATTACCGCTACAGAAATAATTTTTTGATAAATGTATATCATGTACAAATCGGATTAGATTCGAGATAAAATTCAGGATAAAATTTGGTATTACACGCATGTAGAAGCGTAACACTGAAAGAAAAATCAGAGAATGAATTTTTCTGTCACTACTTTCAAAATCGTGCACTATTTTTCGCTTTACAACTTTAATTGTTTAGCTACAAAAATATTTAAAAAAACAATCCTTTTCAATTGAAACAATATTGAGCTATATGAAAAAAAAAAAAAGAATTATTCGTCACATGAAGAATTGGTTCACGAAATTTTTCACTAAAAAAAACTCAATTATTTGCAAATAATCAAGGATTAATATCCTGTGAGTCAATCCTTGACTCTTAATTAAATCAGTCAGGATTTAACTGAAAAGCGTTTGCCTCTCTATAATGTGACCACCAATAGTCTATAACGACCTACGCGATCGTGACCACCAATAGTCTATAACAACCTACGCGATCGTGAATTAGATGGAAAATTGTACTCTCTACTTCCGTTGTTAACGAATTCCCACTCGTGATTCGACATATAGCAATCGACATTTCAAAGAGCACCGGATCGTGAATCCCACCAATTATTATTCCTTTTCCAATGCTCCTTAGGGATCCAAATACACATACTTGGGTATTCATGACCTGGAGCGTCTATCGGTCTCTCTTCCTATCAGACACACGTGTTTCCCATCCATTTATTCTTTCCGTTTGTTCTTTTTTTCTTGCCGCGACTTTCCGTGCACGCAACCGTCTGATGCCGGGATGCAAAAGTATAAGCGGCTCGCAAAAAAATAGATCGCGATCTCCTGCGTTACGGAACTGAAGGAAAATAGGCTTAACCGCCCGTAAAGGGATCAATCGGTGGCGTTTCCATTACGCTCGGCGATGAACCGTGACGGAAACTTTAAACAGGAAGGATATTATAAAAAATTGTCCTGAAGTTATTTTCTCCCTATTTAATCCAAAATTTATTCTACACTACAACAAGTCAAGTTCCGGAGAAAGTCGAGATTAGTTCACCGAGAGACATCTTAAAATGAAGATTTTTTAATTGCTTTATGCATGTGGAACGTTCTGCCGCGAGTTTCTATAAAAATCTCTTGAAGAAAAGGAACCATAATAAAATATTCAGTCATTTTTACAAACTTCTACCTGCTTAATTTTTTTTGCATTCTTCTTCATCTTGTTTTTTTTTTTTCAAATTCTCATAAAACTTGTGAACCTATATCATTTTAGTCCGAATCTTTCGCGCCAAATTGCAACATTAATTTGTAAATGTGTTTACAAATTTTAATTAATTAAATTTGAACAAGTCTAATAAGATGGATATATTTTTGGCTCCGCTATACGGTCTCATTTATTAATTATCAGAGAGATATATATAGTAGTACCACTCCCAGCTTTCAAGTTAACTATCGCCTTCGTTGGACTGTAAATTTAATAAGCTCGTTAGAACATTCATATCCCACGGGCTCAATGAAACTACCTCAGCGTCTTAATAAGAACATTGGTGACTCGCGTAACATGTTCAAACTTATGACAAATAAATAACTTTTTCGTAACAAATCGACTTTTCGAGAAAAAGTATCTAAAAAAAAGTAATCTATCCAATGTTCAATGAATTAATTTTCGATAATTCAGTAGTGCCTTATGCATCTGCGAACAATAAATTATGTGTAAATTATAACAAAATTGTTTCCCAAACTTCTTTCTTTTAAAACATATGTGATATGCATAAAATCAAAGATATCATCAGAATGATATAAATGTAATATTTATTACTACGATCATATTACGCGGCAATCCCTCGAATAACTTACTCGAATTACTTTACTCTCGTAATAATAATTTATCGAGCAAGTTTAAATGCACCAAACAGAACAAATTAAATTGAATAATGTCAAACATTTTTTTCTCTCTGCTGCCTTCTTATTTTCTGGATTTCTTTCAATATCTAGTGGCTGTTATAATAGCGTGAATCATCTCCCGGAGAGTTAAACGCTATGCGATAATATAATGCAGTTCTACCTCGCTACGACGCAAAAACTAAAAGAGAACATAATTGATTAGAGAAACTTGGTTTTTTTAAACAAAGTGACATCTCAAACTTTGTTAATATTCTCAACCAAGGGTAAATCATTCGGGAAGAATAAAAAGAAAATTGTAAGCTAAAATAGCAATGGAGAAAGGTGTACAGTAAATTCAACGCTATTTTATCTCGGAAAATGACAAGCAACATTTTTAATTTTTTCAAATATCAATTTTATACAAACCTAAGTTTGTTAAAAAAATATTGCTACATTATTTTCAATTCTTCGTTATCTAAAATTTTTAAAGTTTAGTTTTCTGTTTTAAATAATAATGCTATAATGTTCTTTATTTAGTAAAAAAAAAAAGTTTTTCTAACACAGAAGCTGTAATATATAAAAATTAATAAAGCAGTCAATATAAAATTAAAATTAAGTAAAAATGAATAAAAATTCTTCTACACAGACTCGCGCAAGTTATAGTACCAGTTTATTGAATAAATAAAACTATGTGTTTTGTTACCTTGTAAGGTAGAAATAAGGAGAGCAAGGTAGAAATCGTTGTACTCTATATCTAATATTCTTACGTCATGACTATTTGATTACTTGGCCTTTTACGTTCGTATAGCATTTGCACTTACGCTAAACTACTGAACTACTAACGTGCATCGGCGATGGGCTACCACAAAGTGAAACTTCGTAACCGATCTAATTTCTGAAGGGAGTAAATATTTGCACAGCAGCCGCGTTTTAGCATAAAATTTACATGTGTCTCGTTGAGACACACGAGGGGAAAGTATGCAAAATATTATTGCACAAATAAACATTACACTTGTATGCGAATTTGATTCTATTCGAATGACGGTAATATTCCGAATTTGAATTCATACTTTTATGAATTATAAACGATTAACAAATTTTTTATTGCCTTCGATTTCAAGAAATTCGGTCTGATTATTGCAGTAGAAAAAAATTGCGGAAAATAAACTGAACCATAGAGTTGTATGAAATTTTAGTATACTAAAATTAAATAAATCGTTATAACAATTGCTTTCAGCTTTCTTGATTGATACGTTTCTAAATATAAAAAAATGGGTTTATATTTATAATTCTGTTAGAATGTTTTGTAACAAAAAATTGTCAAACAATTATTTCTTTTTATGCACGCGATGTATACTCTATTTACGAATAAAATATATTTACGAACTTACTTAAATTATTCAATAAGATTCGCAAGGGAGTATTGAATTTAAAAATATTTAATAATTCGCAGATATTCTGTGCAAGAGAACTCGACAAATCCCTAGCATACATATTCCAGTTTCAATGCTTCACTTTCAGGCTCCTTTTACGGTTCCCCCGCGATCTAGGTGTCTGCAGTTTCGCACCTTAAAGCGAAATTAACGAACTTAATCCAGCTCTCTTAGTATACAAATACGATTACGTAAGTGGAACTTGTGTAATAAAACCACGGTTAATATTAGAGAGAAACAGAAACGCTCAGTAATTCCGCTTTATGTTCAACTCGCCCTAGTACACGTTAATCTATTTAGAAAGGGAAAAAAATGCAGAATCTAGATTTGGATGGAGATTAAAGCATGATTCGATTCTAGTATCGTTTAAAAAAAAAACGTTTTATTTTCTCGTATTTTATCTCATACGGAGATTTATTTAGTATCATCGTTTACAATATTTACCCTTATATACGCAAATCTACATATTTATATTTTACAAAAAAAATAAAAATATATAATTTATATTTACATAGAGCCCTAAAAAAATAGGTACACAGCCAATACAAATTTTGCTGTTGCTTTTTTTTAAATTTCTGTCATTTATATATTTACTAGTGAAAAAAAAATGCAGTGTCACAAAAATCCGTGGTCGTAGGACGCAATGAAATAATTCGGCAGATTCTACAATTGACACAAACCGCATGTCGCTAATCGAGGCTTAAGGGAAAAGCCTGTCAGGAAAGCGGAGGCTCAAGTAGCAATTGTTGGCCTGCAGAATATTGATTAATTCAAATTGTCAATTTCGAAGGGGAAGTTCAAGGAGACCGGCTGCCCTCGGGCAATAATAAGCAGTATACATATGCATCAACGAACAATTAAAACAGAAGACAAGCATTAGTAATATATACCGTAACAAAGTTAATTTAGAAATTTAGTAAGGAGTATTACAGATGACAAGGGTGAACTAAAACGCCGTAGACCGATACTTTGAACTGCCACGTAAAAATTACTTCTGAAATGTCGCAAAGTAATCGTCGTTATCTGCTCGTCGTCGTCTGCTGAGCTTATTGTCTTCTTCTACACGGTAGTTTAGACTCTCGCAAAAATCACTCTTTTTACTAAAACGTGCGCTACATCTGCAGAAACAAGTCTAGCAAGCGTAACGAGAATTGTGGTTACACGCGTCTGACTGCACGCTCAAGAATTCATAGCATCCTATCCGATGTCTAATTAAATATTCTATACATGAATGAGTAAGCCAATAAGCGTCGTCATAATTCAACTAGATGAAACAACTGAGAATTAGGAACAAAATTGTAAGCTAACTTTTTCGAAAAACAAAATGTTGAGAACCTCGAGTGGCTAATTTCTCTTCTCTCAAAACGTTAAAAGAGCAGCAAAATAAATTAAACAGAGATTCTATTGAATCGAAATGTCCATTGAGGGTAATCATGACATTGATGTCGATAAATGAATAACAATATTCTGTCGATTCTTTAATGTACATACCTTGCCATCTCATGAAATAAAGACAACAACGTACAAACAATATCGGCGATTTTCCCGGTAACGGACAGAAATCGACAGGAGCCATTTCCATATGATGTTATTTGCAAAACCACGGGGAGGAACGTCGCGCCGTTGAATCTATAATTCAATTTGTTTCGCACACATGCAAGGGGCAAAGGACAAAGAGGCGACGATACTGGCATTGAATCTGGCTACGATAATCCGACAGCGTTGATCTGTCCGACATTCCCTCCTTGCGAGACAACGCTCGCAAAACGAATAGAAATCTCTCTCGAGGAGAAATCAACCTGGGATGCCAAAGGTTACGCCGTGAGACAGGAAATTGCGCTCGCATCAAGCGCTTTTGAACTCTACTTCATTAACAGCAATGGAGAACGTTGTTTGAAAATAGGAGCACGGTACGCCCTACCGATATTCTGCCCACCAGCCAGAAAGGACGGGCGCAACCCCATGTTAACTCTGTTCCAACAGTTAGGCAAACAAACCGACACTCCTTGACCACCTGTAAGTTATATGAGTTACATTTCGTAATCAAATTGAAGTTCATGGTCAATATATGGATATAACGGACATCAACCGAATAACAATTGATTTTAGTGAATGATAAGCTGTATCTACAATCTATATGTATACATCAATAAGTTATATGAGTTATATTTCGTAAAATTTAAATTCGTGGCCAATACATGAATACAATAACGGACATCAACCAAACAACAATTGATTTTAATGTTTGATAAGATGTATCTATAATCTACATGTACATATAAATCTACTGGACAAAATGATCGGAAAGAGAATCGCTAAAAAAAAAAAAACAGGAATGATCTTTTTGACACTGTCGTTTTAAAATGTTCTGATCACCAACTTTATAGAGCACCTCCGAAGCTTTAGCTTACACGTATGTGATTTTGCAGAATCACATGTGCTTTTTAGAGATATTCTTATTACAGCGGCAAGATGCCGCGATCTTTTCAAGAGATAGTTTTTTTAATATACATCACTGCTAGTTTATTTTGATATAAAGAGGAAAATTGAGAGTTGATTTTTTAAATGAAATATTACATTTGTGAATTTATATATATGTAATAATATAATTATGAAGTAAAACTCCACTGATGTTTTACAGATAAATCAAATCAAATAAATTATGTTCGCAGTTACAGATAATTTAAAAGTTATCCGCATGTGATGAAATGTTTGCTTTACAGGTATTCGTCGTGCAACACGTGGACGTTTGTATGTTCAGCAACGGCAAATTCAAAAACGTTGTGGCCCTTATGTCGTCGCAAGAGGACTGTCCTCTGGGTCCAGGTGGTAATTTGAGAAAGACTTACACTCTCAGGCTTGTTAAGGGCACGACTAAAAATTGGATCGCCTTAGAGGACAGCTACACGAAAACCGGAGCGAGCCTGGCGTCAACGGTTACTAACCCTCGGAACGGGCCTGATGATAGAAACGTTTATACAATTTACGTATCTTATTACGTGAAGGTAATTTTTTAAATATAAAAAAGGAGGAAATATAATGAAGATCGTCAGATATGCTTATTTTTGAAAACTAAATTTTTGAAACCATTGTAGAAAAAATTCAAAAAGACTATTCTTTCGATATAAAAACATTATTCTAGAGAAAATTCTTTGATTTGATATTTCGTTTCAGATAAAAATCAATATAGATAATGCACAGTTTGTACATTCTCGACAACACAGATTGTCAAATTTGATGCAATATTATTTTAAGAACAAATAAGATATATATATTTTTTTCATTGATTTATCTCTATTTAATTTAGATGCACATTTCAAAACATTGTTTTCAAGAAAATTTATTAAAAAGCAATAATTATAATCTATAATTTGCGTTAAATTATGTTTTTAATAAAATTTTCCTCGAAAGCAATGTTTTGGGATGTAGCCTGGGATTACTACAGGTTATTATATTAAAAAAATGTTTTATGAAGATTTCGTTTTTTCTTTAAGGTTAAATTGTTCATCTCGGCGATGGGCGGTGAAGTATCTTTGAAGCTGCCATTCACGCTGATGCACAGTAACACGGATATGGATCTCGTGGGATTCCCGTCCCCTACCCGAGAGGCGTCGAAGGAATTTGGAAACAGCACGAACGAGATCACGGAGAAATCCGACAGTGGTAGCAGTCATCGGAATAAGGAGAACAAGCTGGAGGCTATTAAGGAGCAGAAGGAGTCGAGGGTGACCGACGTGGACCTGATAGAGCACTGCGAGGAGAGTGACAGCACCTGAGAGCGGGCGCAACGAGGCGACGCGGTGTCGCGGCCGTCTGTCAGGAAAAGTAGCGATGCGAAGGCCATCAAGAATTCCAATCACAAGACCTGCAGACTCAGCGTCAGCATTCAACGTGCTTGGTGCTGTTTCAGAAGGGCGTCTTAGTAAACGAACGGAAATCTGGTGGCAGTCAGTGACAATTGACTTGATATAACATTTTACTTTGCATCGTTGTGATCCTTACTGTTTTCTCACAGAAAAATCTCGTGACGCGACTACATCAAATAAGAGAAAAGAGGATAAGATAATGTATAGTGAACCCTGTCGTCAATTGTCATTAGAATCGTTGTACACGTAGATGTGGATATCTGGTTTTTTGTTTTTTTTTTTAAGAAAATGAAATGTAAATTCGGAAATGGTCAAATTATATGCAATCTTGGGAAAACAATGAACAAATATTGCGCTTTTCATTTTGTAGAGGAAATTTTATAGAAGTGAGATTAATTAAGATATTGTGGGATTTTCGTGGGAGATCGAAAAATTGTGCGCCAAGCATTCGCATATTATCGCACATTGCACAGATCCTAACAGGATTTTGATTTTATCGAGGAAAAGAGGTACATTCTGATGAATGTCTTTGTTGTAATCAAGTGTGTAAAGTTGCTAACTCAATGTATCATACATAAATCATTTCTTGGCATGAAAGGAGAAATTAAATTTCACTGAAAAATTATGATTTGTTTACAAATTTTTTCATCTAGTACTTTTACCATGTGAAAAGAAGAAAGTCTCTCAAGAAATATATATTCCTGTATATTTACACGGTTGGATAATATTAAGACATACATATATAATATATAATATATTCTTATATAAGCTACGAGAATGTCATCGCTAACTATACATATATCTGAAGCTTCGTGAATGGAAGTCGCTTGAAACTGTTTGCGTTTATATCTTCCTACTCATTTAATACCTATATGAAAAGTCTCCTACTGCCATCCTTAATCACTTGCAAACAGACTCTGCGTTCATTTCGAAAACATATGAAAGGATAGACATTTTTTCATTTTTGTATGTACATAAACTGAGAACTTATCTCTACAACCATCTATATGAAAAAGACGTAATATGTACTGAATTAAAAATATCGAAGATATTTTTTCAGAGTGAGATAAAGATCTATTTTTTATTATAACAATCGATGTACAAATTATCCCACTATCACTAGATAAAAGTTAAATTGTATATCTCTCGATAATTGTAAATTTAATTTCTTTTTAAGAATCTTGAATTCCTAATCAAGATTCTTAATAACAAGTTTTGACCTTATAACTATGACCAAGATAAAATATTTTAAAACATGTATTGAGAAATGAAAGTATATTAAAACTTAACTAAAAGAAATTAATTATCTATGCATATCTGAGCATTTATCTAAGCATTATCTGCTATATCGAAAACATTTTTTTATTTTCATATCTCTTTACAACTTCAAATCCATCGCATTTATCATTAATGCATCATTAGTGATAATGAAACACTTTGCACAATTATTATTCTTTTGTTTGCAAGTAATTATTGTATTGACTGGCCAATCCCACAAAAAATTACAAACTACAATGCAACTAATAAAAAAATAAATCATAGCAATCATTTCCAAATGAGATATTAACATGTCAAATCGCTTCTCTATCCACAATGAAAATATGTAAAGATGTACAGATTGTATCTTTAGCATTGTAAATAATAAATACATATATAAGTATTAGATTGTCCGAAAAGTTCATATGAGTTTTTCAACAAATGTTCTCTATAAGTGTTGCATAAGCTGTTAAGAGGGTGCTAATTAAAAAAAAAAGTTAATTTTTGATTAACTTAATCATAGTTAACTTAAAAAATATCTACAATATTCTGTTAACGTAAATAGAACCTACGAATCTTTTATAGTTTAATACATGCAAAGACACTAAGTTTAGAACGATAAGCTATGTAAATCAAAATTTGGAACAAGTATTTATGCTATAAATTAATCACCGATTACGTTAATCAAATTTTGATCAAAATTACTTTCAAACTTTATATAATATATACACAATAATATTTATAGCTAAAGTTTATAATTATTAAAATGGCTATAAAGAAATTACGAATTATTTTTATTATCATCGTTTTTCTGGACACTTTTTAAAATTAATTACTCGATTTTACTTTCAACATCACCCATATCCCTGACGTGCAACAATTGTTTGTTGATGCAACTAAAATATATGTATATAATGAACGTATTTACGGACTCACAGTGCCACTGCGCTCTCGCGTATCCCCTGACGATCTTCTTGCTCGTTTTACCGACGTCGTCCTGCACATCGATCAAGATATACTTGAATCTCCCGTGACCGTCGATATCCACATCGGGCACATTGTCTAACTGGGACATCCCGGTGAATTGACACGTACTTCTTAAGCCTGCAACAAACGAGCAATGTACAACATAACCTGACACGCGAACCGTTTCCATTTATATCCATCGTGTATCGCATCGTGTTGCCAATAACACACTTGACGTGTCCGCTAATCAAAATAACGCGGATCAACGTATCTCAAGTACTTCTACGCGCGACGTAACGTCACGCGTTGTAATCGTCTTTAAATACCTCTCGAAGCAATTTGCCGGCCGCTCGCTACCGCTAACCCAAACTTCAAAATTGCAGCCATGAGACACACGAGCATGCATTCTGTTTATCCGACACGTGGTTGGCTGATTTTCCCATTCGTACGCACGTTGGCTACGCTGCCCGCGCAAATTTGAACAGACTTTAAAGGTGTTAATAACTGGCGCAAACAAGAAGAGCGCATGCGCATCGAGTCACCTAAAAATAACCAGAACTAAAGTTACTAAGAGGCTGCGTTCCGATATTCACTAGCCACTGCCAGTGCTGAAAATCTATAGTGCACGTAACGTATATTATAGATTTTCAGTACTTGCAGTGAATATCGGAACGCAGCCTAGATTATTAAAGCTATTAATAAATAAAAGTATTCAGTAATCAAAGTATTCAGTGAATATAGTTTTCAGGTTCAGTAAAAACTGTTCATTAATTGTTTAATGAAAAATATTAATCAGAAAACTGAGAACAAAAGATTATTTTTACAGAGATTAATTAATCTATCTGTATAAAAATTGAACAGACTTTCGATTCTCTTAAGCCCATTTCTACAATGAAACTTAAGATTTAAGCTTTAGGGCGTTAATTCGTGATGTCATTTCCGTTCGTAAGGCGTTCCCGCCTTTTACTTTAGCCTTAACTTTAATTCTCAAGCGAATTGACGAAACTTCAATGCCAAAAGTTAACGGCTTAAAATCGAGCGCGATATAAGAACCAATCATCGCACTGCCTTCCATTGCCGCTTCTGCTTTCTGATTGGCTGCTTGGTCGTTAAAGCTTAAAGTTACAATCTTACAACGTTTAATTAATTGCAGACACTACGATGTAACGGCTTGAGTCTTAACGGTTTAAGATTTAAAAGCTTAAAATCTTAAGTCTTAAGTTTCATCGCAGAACGGGCTTTACATCAAACTATCAAAAGTTCTAACAGAGTAGCGTCACTGTGTATACGTGTATACATACATACTACACTGTGCTTGTATGTATATACACGAATTGCGCGGCGCGGCGCGCGGCGAAATTGAAGCAATATGGCGGATTGACACAACAATTTTTAATGCGCGATATGTAGATTATTTTGACTGTCGAGCTACACCGCGCGCTGCCCCGACGGAACGAATTGCGGTTGAAGCGAGGAAGCTCCACGAACGGCCGTTCCGTCGCGCGAGTGGACAATTCAGTGATCAATTCGGCTTCGCCGCCGCGCGATTGAGGCTACGTTCAACCTCGTAACCCCGCGGCGGTTTCGTGGCGCCGAAATTATTTCCACACAGAGCCACGAACCATGGGCCCGATCGTACGGTTGCGCTAGCTGGGCGGCTAGCGGCAATTTCACGTCGATAGTTACCCGCGCCGGTCGACGGTGGGATGTCGGCTACGCAGATTAAAGTGCGAGGTACGCGAAAACATTCGCAGGATTAACCTTATACGAGCTTGAGAGAATAATACGCCGTCTCTCGTCTATCTTCCCGCCTCGTCATCGCCGCCCCCGTCTTCCCGCGAATTTCTGTCACTCGGTCGTGATGCCTCTCGACGACGAATATTGTCAGAAAACGTCGTCGCAATAGAACGGGTGAATTGCCAATGCCTTTTGCGTGTTGCAGGTCCAGGGCGACCTCCGAAGGTGAAGCACTCCCCGTGTACGTGGTGCGGCGAGACCAAGCTACCCCTGAAGTATGTCCTACCCACGCAGAACGGCAAGAAGGAGTTCTGCTCGGAGACATGCCTGTCCGAGTCTCGCAAGACGTATGCACGGGGCGCTTGTGTACAGTGCGACAGCGTGATCAGAGGTACGCCGTTCAGATTGGAGCAGAAGGATGCTCCTACAAAGGATTTCTGCTCCTCGTTCTGCTTGAATGCGTATCAGAAGAAGGAAACGCAAGCGGACACGAAGAAGAGTAAGTTGATTGTATAGTTTTTATTTTTATATAGATCTGTACGAACTTTTTGTGGCAATTCGAACAAACGTTTGATTTGTGTAGACAACAGGGATCCATCATCGCCGTCTCCCGCTCCGTCTCCAGCTCCGTCTGGATTACCAAGCAATAATAATGTACCATCGACAACACAATCTTACACCAACACGAATAATCACACGACTGTATCCAATCCACCGTCAACGTCTACCGGATCGTTTCAGTACGAAACCTATCAGACCTTTGATTGGGATCTTTATTTAAAAGAAACAAATAGCACGGCGGCTCCAAACGAGTGCTTTAAACAGGTACAGTGCGATATATAATTTGGCCTGTTGTACAATTATACAAGTTTTATTTAATCCTACTAGAGTGTACATATAGATTCAGTGCTTGCAGGATACTGATCTTACATTGCGTATCATGCATTATTTTTATTTCAGCATGAAGTCCCGCCAACGAACGAATTTAAAATCAATATGAAATTGGAAGCGCTAGACCCACGAAACTTGACGTCAACTTGTATCGCCACGGTAGTAGGTGTTCTTGGACCGCGGTTAAGATTAAGATTAGACGGCTCTGATAATAAGAACGATTTTTGGCGATTGGTCGACAGTAACGAGATACATCCGATAGGCCACTGTGAAAAATCAGGCGGGATGCTTCAGCCACCGCTAGGCTTCCGAATGAATGCTTCAAGTTGGCCAATGTTCCTCCTAAAAACTTTAAATGGCGCCGAAATGGCACCGGCAAAAGTATTCAAACGTGAACCAAAGACGCCGCGCTCTAATTTGTTTGAGGTCGGACATAAGTTAGAAGCAATTGATAAGAAGAATCCACAACTTATATGCACCGCGACCGTCGGCGCAGTTAACGACGACATGATACACATTACGTTTGATGGTTGGCGCGGTGCTTTTGATTACTGGTGCCGTTATGACTCCCGAGATATTTTCCCTGCCGGATGGTGCTTCAAAAGTGGACATCCATTACAGCCGCCAAGACAAAAATGTACATGCAAAAATTATTTTATAATTTCTAAAGTAATCATATAGTTGTTGCAGATCAGTGTATATATATATATATACACAAATTGTCGAAAAGTGGATCGATCGGCAGATGTGAGATGTCAGTTACACAGTCTGATCCTTCCCAGTAACCTGATATTCTGCATCAAAGGCCCCGTCCAATGATCCATCGATCCACTCTTTGACAATTTTTTGGGGTTTATTATATATATATATATATATATATATATATATATATCAATGTTATATAGTATTTAAATACGTGTAATCGACATTTTAATAACATTCTCAATTTTAATCTATACAGCGGGTTCCAACAAATTTAGATCCGGCAGGTCTGGCAGTAATGTTATGTTAGTGATGGCAGTATCTGGAAACAATACCAGCACAACTGAGAACACTCCAGAACGTGCAGTTGCATTAGTAAGCCCCGCAGGTTCCAACTCATCATTACAGCCAGCTACAGAACCTGACACTAGCACAGCCAATACCAAGCCACTTGAAAACGGTCAGTAAATTATAATTTTACATAAAGCGCAAGTGATGTGCTGTATCTTCTACAAAATATAATAAGATTCACACAATAAACTTTAAATGACAACTTGATTTTACATTGCAGTTACGCTTTATGTCAATCATAAATGTCACTGTGGGCCATATTTTGATAATAGAAAGGTGAAAGCGATGCCAGCGCAATTTGGCACTGGTCCTATGACAACTGTTGCAAGAGACATCTTCCAAGCATTTTTAATGGCTGCTCTGAATCCCAGGCAAATATTGACTTTACTGAGAAATGGCAAAGGCGAAACCATAAATTTGAGTTTGGGAACTTTGAAGAAGCCTACCGTCGTCAGGTTACCCGTTTTCCTGGAAGAGGAAGACTTCTATGCATACATTAAGCAGCAACTCGAGGACCTCCGTACATGTGAATACATGCTAATCCGAAGGAAAGAACCTTGCAGCAAATGTCTTAATACGCCATTGTTACAACAACCACAATCCACCAATAATGAAGAAGCGAATAATTCTGCAGGAGAGAAACGAAGATGGTCATCGGATAGTCAACGAAATTTAAATTTAACTCAGCAACAACAAATACCGCAAACTACTGTGCAAAGTACAAATAATTCTCCTACAGAGACATCCCCTCCACTTGCAAAGCAAGCTCGCAAATCTGTTCCCGGTAAATATTTCATATTTTTCACAAAGCTTTATTTTGTATAAGTAAAACTGCGAATTGCAAGAATATTTATAATTTTCTTATATTTTGTTTATAAAAAAATTATTTAAAACTCATAAGGATTTTTGATCAAATTTTTATATTATATGAAAAGACTGAAGAATCTCCTTAAGAATATATGGATATAATTATTGTTCTATTGCTCAGGATAATGTAACATGTAAAAGAATTTTGCACTATTTCTACAAAGCTTGAATATATAAAATAAATTGATGATTAAATAAACCTACTAATTAAACAGACATGCTGATTAAGAAACGTATTTATGACATTTATGTACAGAATTGGAAGCAGCAACGTCCACTACTCAATCTGAAACCTCTGGAAATCGTATTCCTTCGACAGAGCCGGCGGATTGGACTATTGAAGATGTAATAAATTATATTGCTATTACAGACCCTGCATTGGGACAACATGCAGATTTGTTTAGGAAACATGTGAGTTAAATATAAACAGACATTTAACTTGTTTTATTATCAAATTAATAATGACAATTTTTAGGAAATTGATGGCAAGGCTCTACTTCTTCTCAATAGCGACATGATGATGAAGTATATGGGGCTAAAACTCGGGCCAGCACTTAAGATTTGTAATTTAGTTAACCGTATTAAAGGTAGACGACACATGCTTATGTGATTTTCTCAGATATGAATACCTGTATAGTGATCTGAAACACATGCATTTTATGCATTTCATCATTCAGTTAATCGGATTTATATTTTCAATAAGAAAAATAAATTAATATTTATGTTTATGATACTGTCAATATATACATTTACACTATTGATTATTTTTTTGAATTATATTCAAATATATTCATAATTTTAAAGTTTCAATAAGCAAAAATTCAAGTTAAGTTTTTTGAATTATCAAAACATTACTTTGTTGTTTCAGAAAAGTATAAATTTGCATTATAGCTGTAACGCAAGTATTTTTGTTAATAAATTTACCATTGCCCTATAAGTATTATATTAGCCTAATTCGATTCCATGTATTAGATAAGCAGTGATGAAACATCTTTAAATCTAATATAGTTCTTACGTACACTCATATATGTGCTCACAAAAGATAATGACATTTCATATAAAATTCTTGTAAATATAGTCATGCCGTATGTTATTTTGCAGTACTATGAAATACATATATTGTAAACGAGATATTTGTGTCTTGTGATATTTTCATAAGTAACGTTCATGATATCACAGATTAAAACATTTTTTATAATGATACTTTAATTCTGTTCATACATGACATTACTGCAAATATGTTTAGTTTACTATTGTACATTATTCGACATATCCCGATGCAACGATTTAACTGACTTCTAAGTCTTTTATGACTAATAAGTCTAATTTATTGACTTCTAAGTCTTTTATGACTAATAAATTTTTCAAAACTTAAAAAATTTAATTAGATTATTTTTTTCTCATTCAAATATAAGATAATAGATTAAAGATTTTTGTTATGTTTTAGATGATAATATTTGAATACATATACCTTCTTTTAAAGTAAACCAAAATTTATAATGCTTTTTCCATTGTGTGTTAGTTTTTTTTTTATTATATATAATATGCTACAAATATTTCGGAATATTTTAAAATTAGTCAACTGTGTATGACTTATCATTACATTACTACTGTGATATTCTTGATAACTTGTACAGCAATCTCTCATGTTTCATGATACAATTGCAAATATATGACAGTTTATACACAATACACGGAGTTACTATTTCTCTATTTTATTGTATAGCTCCATAAAGTTATTTCCATTTTGCTTTCTATTATAAGATCCAAAAAGTCGTATTGTCTCTCATTTGTGTGAAATTGTTATTGTAAATATACTAAAATTAAACGGATGTTATGACTTATACACACAATCTGCTTCAAAAATTTCTGAACTTTTTTCTATAAGTTATATAAAGTTATCTATTAAAATAGTATGGAATTATTTTCTATGAAACTTTATTTCTGACTCTGTACAGCTGTATTCCTCAACGTTGTATTATTTATTTGCTGTAACGACAAAAGTGAAAGTACGTTTTTGAGAAAAGTAATGGAACAAACCGAATATATTGATTCCAAAAGATGTCTTAATACTTGGTCATCTACCATCTATTATTTATTTGATACAGCTTTCTCTGATTATTTTCTACCGAAGTTAAAAATAAAGTATAATATTTTAACGATCTCGAAAATGATGACAGAAAATTTTAATCGAGATTATTTTTCTTATAAAAAGATTACCAGAGATATTTCCAAAAAAAATGTACAATTGCTACAAAGATTTAGCGAAAGACTTCTAAAAATTATTTTCGATGGAATGTACTTTGAATAATTAATAAATGAAATTACATATAAGAAATAATTTTAAAGAAAATTCGGAAATTTTTGAGACAGACCGTGTATGTTATTTTATAATATTTTAAATATACAAATTGATTATCAAGGCATAAGATGAATCTTCTATTTCTTTCCTATATGTATGTGTGTATTTATTTTCAGCACATGAAAATAATTTATCTCAAATTATGAAAGGTAATATATATTTTTACGATATTACTATATAATTTATTTTAAATTATATAAATGTTACGAGAATATTTTTCTTCGATTTCTATAATTTCAATTAGACGCATTTATTGATATTTTAATGTAAATATAATTTAAAATATGTTAGTATAGACAATTTAACTATTATGCTAAAAAATTAGATACATTCCAAGTATTAAAATATAAAATTTATCATATCTTTATTGTAAAAAAGCTCACTAATATGAAACGAGACTAAGAATATAATTCAAATTTAATACATGAGAAAAATGAATATACAAATAAATTGTTGTATCTAGATGCAATCTCAGTCGTCATCAGAGTCATCTGAGGTACGTCCCTTGATGGTCTTGGGTTTCGAAGGTCCAAATATATTAAAGGGTTTTTTACCAGTTTCTGACGATTGCACATCATCGTCATAATTGATCACGCCAGATTGTGCAAGACGGCATTGCAATGTTTGTGTGGAAAAATCATCACAGTTTCCTAATTCGGTAAAACCCACAATATAATCCTTGGTTTTACCATTCACAATTAAGGCAATTGTAGGTATAACTCTGATCCGTAATCGTTCTGTAATACACAAATAAATATTATCAAATTTAAGTATGCCACTATCAAAATATATTTGAGAAAGACATCTCATGCAATAATACCTGTTAAAAAGGGACATCTCTCGACGTTCAGCTTACAGAATCTCGCTTCGATGTGTTTTTTCGCAAGAATCTTTAAATGATGATCCACTATTTTACTTCGTGGAGAATCATCTTTGTAGAATAAGCAAACTATATTCTCAGACTTTTTCGATACTTCAAAGAATTCTTTCTCGTCGTACAACTCAGCATATTCTCCGTGACCCTGTAGCAGTATGCAGTTACACATGTATTAAAAAATGTGTGTTGTTATACAATACTTTGTACAACAGTTGTACAATATTTTCAGACATAAATTTGTATACATGTTCCTGATGCAATATTTAGAATTCTAGTATTAAATATTCTAATGCAAGCATAAACATGCCAGAGGCACATTACCGAAGCCAGCCAATCCTGCTTCTGTTTTTGCATTCGTTTGAGCTCATTCAGTCTGTGTGTGCGTATCTTTTCATAATCGTTGATATCCAAATTGTCTAACTTCTCCAATTCTGCGTCTAACTGCTGCTCAACATGATTGGCAACTTCTATGACTTTCTGTTGAATTACAGACTCCATATCGCTGTCAATTGAAAAGACACTCGTGAATACTTTGTGCATCCATTATTTTCTTACCGGTATGTCATAAAAGAGGTACAAAAAGTTACAATGCAAAATGAGAATGTGCCATACAGTGTGAACGTTAACATTAAATACAAAATAAATATAATGAAAAAATACCAATTTGTTAGAATTTTTATTCTTCTACTTTAAATGTTCGGCGTTAAGAACGGAAATTTTGTTTCTTAATTCGGTGATAACTTGATTTTTTTAACTTCGCAATCCGTATTCACAATCCAAGGCACTTCTTAACCATATATAGAAATGTCACTGCTAAGCGTGGGACGCGAGAAGCATGATGCTCCTTGTAGTGCAAATGATAGTTGACCAAAATGTGCGTTCACAAACTGAGCAATATGCAGTACATAATTGTCTTTGAATTTCTCTCTCTCTCTCTCTGTCTTCATATCATGGATGCACTCACAAAAATTATAATTCTTTTTTCAATGACTTTTGGAACACATTAGACATGCGTGCGCGAGCGCAAATAATGTTATATAGCATTTATTATGAAATTATTTTTTTTTTAACAAAAATAAATATAATTCATTTTTTTTATATTTTGCGAAAAGAGAAATATTATTATAAGGTATACGTATTATTATAAGAATACATAAGGTATTAATAAACATAAAAAAAGTATATATATTTAAATTTCTATTTTAATAATTTTTTAAAACAAATCACAATCTTTTGGGAAAGATTGTGTAATATTTCTAATATTTTATTTTTATTTAATAATATGAATTTGCGAAATATATGTATTTTATTGGAATATTCGTTCCTTTTTAATTTATATCAATAAACACACATATATTATTTAATATTTAAATTACATTACTATTACAGTCACGATTACGTTTTAATGTATAAATACGATAAGGATATTAAGGATAAAAAGATCTATAAAAATTGTGTGTATCATTGATTTAAATTGTATTTATTAAAACTTTATCAGGCAGTAAATATTACAGAGTTTATTATTTTTATTAGCTTCACGCTGATTTCTTCTTAATATTAATAATTGATAATATCCTATTTATCAGAGGAATAATTAAAAGCCTAAATATATAAACCGTGTATCAGTAAAGCAGAAAAATCGACTTGAATATAGAACAGGTTGTTTATAAAATAGTTTTACATTAATCAGATTATCAAAATAAAATAATATTAAATAACGAGAGTTCTGTATTTATATATGTAATGTCATTGTTATTAGGGAAATTTTAATCTGATGTATTATATGATTAAAAATAATATGCGGAAGACATTGCAGTATAGTAAAAATAAATAATTCACTGAAAATCATCTTCAAATATATGTATATACAAACAATGAAAATGTAAACAATATTGGATAATCATGCTCTTTTAAAGACAAAGGTTTCATTTATTCATATTCTACGTATAGCATGTGCTTGCAATAAAATGGAAGAAATTTTTTTAAAATAGTCATGTTCTTTCTAATTCAATCTATTTTTACATTATATAAATGTCAGCAAAATTAAACTCAAACGTAGCAAGTTAAAAGTAGGCCTTTATAAAAATGCAATTTAAGTTTTATTGCGAAAGATAATACTGTTCACTTTCCAAATTAAATTAATTTAATTAATTTTCATGAGTAGCATTAATAATTATACTATAATTTATTAAGAGAGCGAGAAAGAGCAATCAGATTCACAGAAAATCAGTATATAAAATATTTTGTGTAAAAGCTGCCAGAAACAATATACATGCAATGACCACAATCCCTAATAACTGACAATAATAAACATCAGCTATTAATATATTAATATCTCAATTAGACTATTAGTGAAAAGACTTATGATTTTCCTTTTTATATAAATAAATGCGTGATTATGTTAAATGACTATAATTGCAAAATACTATAAATATATATATATATATACCTATATATATATATTTATATTTGAAAAATATGTGTGCATATATAAATCTTATAAAAGTAATCATTACTCTTAAGTAGGTTTCAATTCATTTTTTACTATTTTAAAATATTTCATTCAAAAATGATTGAAAAAAAAAAAATTGTAAATAGACTTTCGTAATATTTTTATATATCAACTATAATTAATAGATTTATAAATGGTCTTGCAACGTGTAACCTTAAAGAAGGTAATAAATGCTATTACAGCTCTTTTCCCAATTTCTAAAGATTAGAGACTTAAATGTGATGTTACTATCATACATATGACTTCAACATTTCTGCCTTTCTTTCATCACTATATGAAATATAAATAATTTAAAAAATAATATCAAGTATCTTTTAGATCTATTCTTTCAAAAAAAAAAGTTTACAAATATTTTGTAGAAAACACACACTAAAAGTAAATTTCGTAACTTCAAAAAAGTTTTTTTTAGTCATTTCGAAGACTTTCAACTATCGTGTATAATCGACTTGCTACTCTGTTAAATGTATCTGTCGTGATCTTGATAGGGTCCTTTTAACACGTTTATATTTTCTCATTGCTTCAACGAGAGGTTTAAGCACCCTGAGAACATTCGACAGCAGGAACGCCTGCAAGATTCTACTGTAAAATTTTACTGAATAATACCTGAAGTGTCCCATTTCCATATTTTCAAAATGTATTTGTAGATAAGAAAACGTTTTACAGGCAATGACAATCTGAAATTTTCATTCACTGAAATTTTTAAACATAGCCAAGAGACGGCAGGCGGCGCCTATACTTCTTTCAATCATTCTCTTGGACGATCCACATCACTTATCCATATTTTGAGATGCGAGACAGTATCATGTCGCATTTGGCGCATTACAATGCACAGGAATGACTTTGGGAGTACACCACCAAGGGTTAGTCGCAATTAATTCAAGTTTGAATATTTACATTTAAACGAATTTAATATATCTAATCAGCCTTACGTGGCTTACGCTTGCGAACATTCGGACTACTGGTATCAGCCTTGGTATCTTTATCTTTCTCACTCGCTTCTACTTCCTTCGCCTCAGCTTCCTTCGTTTCAGATCCCTTTGCTTCAGATTCCTTCGCCTCGGATTCCTCTTGTTCCAGTTCTAGTTCTGGAGGCATTTCAGACTCCTCTTCGTCTATCAAATCGTCCCCGATATTTTCGGCAATTTCATCCTCGTCTGAATTTTTCTCCTGACCAGCGCCATCCGTTGCGCCACCGGTCTTCTTCTTCTTGCCTTGTTGCTGCGACGGTTTTTGTGGAAAGAGGAAGTCGATCACGCACACAATGAGCTACAATTACAAGTACAGTTAACAATCACCTTAGCCATATAAATTTTATATATTACATAATATAAAACATATCATTGGAACGGAAGTGTGGGGATGAATAGAAAGAAGAGAGGTGGAGGAGGGGCATGAGAGATTAAGTGGACTATGGGGTTAAATTGGAGGATGATGCTGGGTTATATGGTAAGAGAGAAGGTGGAGAGATGGATGATGAGAGAAAGAGTGGATAGAAGGACATGGGAAAAACGTTGGAAGAGGGAAGGGGAGGGGGGTTGCAAGAAAATACTGGGGGGAAATGAAAGGTGAGAAAAAGAGAGGGTAATAGGAAGACAGGAACAAGATAAAAAGGAATTTTTAAGAGAGAGGAGAATGAGAGAGCAGGATTGGTAGTATATGAAGTAATGGAAAAATGAGACAGAGAAGAAAAAGATGAAAAAGAATAAGAGAGTCGAGGTATACAATAAATGGTACAAGGTGATTAAAAAGGAAGGAGTATCAGAATGATCAGAATATTTAAAAAAGGGATGGACGAAAGAAAGATGGAGAAGAATAATAATATGTAGAATAGGAAACAAATTAAAAGAATTGTATTGAACAAGAGAGAAGAGAAAATGCAGGAGATGCGGGATGGAGGAGGAAACGTGGGAACATATATGGGAAAGATGTACAAAAAGAATGAAAGGGGAAAAGGAGACATGGCAGGAGGTGGTTGGGAAGATTTTGGAAGAGGAAGGGGAGAGAGAAAAATAGTTGGAGGAAGTAATGAAGAAAAGGAGAACAAAATAATTGAGAAAAAGGAAAGGAGAAAAAGGAGAGAATGGGAATAAAAGAGTGAGAATGAAAATGAGAAAGTTAGAGAGATAAATGAGGGAGAAAAAAAGAAAGAGATGGAAGGATGAGGGAAACGGAAGCCCAAGGATAGGATAAAAGATAGTGTAATTAGAAAGCGAGTGGCGTGCATGTGTATATAAGTAGGATAGGATAGCCTTTAAGTGCGAAGAATGTGGTTAGTATGTAAGTTAATATTCAGATAATTATAAAATAGAGTAGTAACAGATTATATTACAACAATTGTTGATATATGATGCAAAGAAACTCAAGACTTTGTAATCTGAAAGGGATCAATAAATGTTCTAATCTAATCCATAAAACATATAATTCTTACCAATCCTAATATTGTGCCCAAAATAACCGTTGCAACAGCAAAAATCAAGTAACTACCCCATACAGGTACTCCAATATCTTCCAAAAGTTGATTGTGGATATTCTGAAAACAACAATGTTGTATTGAAATTTTTGTTACAAAAATATAATTTTATTTTACACACACATATATATATATATATATATATATATATATATATCATACACACACAAATACTTACACGTAACATTTGGGCCAGTTTGAAAAATTGACTTAAAAATGACATGTGGAATGAAGTTGGACTTTTCCAATTAGATATCGGATCCACTTTCATCCATGTTTTTTTGGATACAAATTCAATCAAGGAGGCTTTATCTCTCGGGCTCTTATACTGTCTGAATATCCCATTGTTGACACTGGAAAACAAAAAATAAATTCTAAGATATGTAGCTATTCAATACAAATTTCTTCTTTGGTTTGCAAATTTTAGAAAATAATTGTGTATTTATTATGTATTTTATGTGTACAACAAAATATAAACTATTAATATGGCAAACTTACTGATATATCGTAGGCAAAGCTGTAACCAAAAATCTGCCACTAAGACCTGGAGAATCTGTCACATCTATCTTTCCAACATTGATATTTAGATCCTTCTTGGATAATGCAAGATCCTCCCAGACTGGTTCAAGTGCTTTACAAGCCGGACACCACGGTGCATAACTAATAAATAACACAATACATTCAATTGTAATAAATTATCATATCATTAAAAACAAATTTTTAAAAAACATATATGTTATAATAATCGTTAAACTGTACAATTTGGTTTAAATGTACAAGCTTTCCACAATGCTATCGAAATACAAAATACACGTATATCTCGTCGAGTTGAATCTAACTCGCGTGACTCTCCGCGTCCTGCCTGTGTTTTCCTCGACAGGAATTTTAACCCTCGTCAAATTCGACAATCAAATTCGTGTACTTTTTGACACGCCATCAACCACGATGTCGACGTGCACGGTGTCAGCACTTACAACTTAACCATCCACTCTCCCACGAGCATGCGATCCCAGTTATCCTCGTTCAGATGCACCACCTGACCGCCTTTCGTTCGCCGCGTGCTCGTGTCCACGTTCGCGCTCGTGTACGCGGACAACAGCGCGACGTAGACGATGCAAAATACGGGACCCATCCTGGCGTGCAACGTCTCACCGTTGAAAATTTTAACCAACACTCACCGGCGCCGCACACCGCACACGACGCCAAATGCCACTAACCGCCGACTAAAAGTGTAAAGTGCAAACTCTTGGATTTTGCGCCGGCGACTACCGTGAATTACACGTAGCACTAGAACTGGTTTCAGCGCCGCTGGAAAGTGCACATTGAACTACAAACTAGAGAGACCAATGAGAAACACACGTAGGACGAAAAACGTGCTTCTCATTGGTCTCTCTAGATGGTAGTTCAATGTCCACTTTCCAGAGGCGCTGAAACCAGCTCGAGTCGCCCTCGCAGCTACATCGCGGGAAAATTCTAGATGATACGATTCGTGTGCGAGCTACGGAATTAGGTGGACGTTTGTGGCCAACTGTTCTGCTCACTACTTACGGTTTAATATTGCGTCATTCAAATAAATTCAAAAGACCGGCCAAGTATATCCCTGCGCACAGAGGACCAGGATCATCCAAACGAAAAAGAAGAAGAAGAAAGGGGACGTCGACGTCGACAACGACGAAAAATTTCTCTAGAGACGTTAATAGCGAGCGTGAGCGAGAATAACGATGGTAAGTTCTCGAAACACAATAGGGCTGCAGTTCGATTTACGCTTGCAGCGCTCGTGATCATTATTTGTCTTCTTCTTCTTCTAATAAAGGCTTCCGTTTCCACCAGAAACGATACAGCCTGTGCTTAAGATTGAGTAACAAAAAATTTGTGCGACAAAAGATGATGCAACACTATCAGAGTACTGAGCCACAGACGTCCACCTCAGTCCGTGGCTCACAACGGAATCCATCATCATTTGTCTTTATTTAATATTCGATTAACGGCAAGGATGAAAGTATTCCAAAAGTAGAGAGAAGCATCTTCTCTCTGCCAAAAGCGTTGGAGCGTGAATCGAACCGCAGCCTAAGCCTTAAGACATAAGAAATGGACCAATCGTAGTTGAATTTGAAAAGAATAATCGATTGACCAATTTCTTACGGTTTATGGGTTACATCTATTTTATTTCGGGACTAATCAAGGCGGAGAACAACG